CCCCAAAACCCCAAAACCCCTTAACATCTAAATAACTAACTGATAAATGAATTAAAGTATAGTATTATTTAAAGTAAAATGGAGGAAAATAAATTTAATCAGTTTTAGGATGAAGAAGATGAAGTAGGCAGTGTCGTTGATATCCAGCAGCTTAAAAAGAGAATTATTAGTTCTACACAATTAAAATACTACAGCTAGACTGTTGATAATTACAGACTACTAAAAAAATTACTGTTTGACTTGGTGTTTTTCATCCTACTTGGTTCTTTGATTTATGTGATTAGATCTCTTTAACTTTATTCTAAAAACTCTGACTTGGAACGTAAATGGCTTCTAGAGATTTTCTCATTTTTAATGGCATTTTGGTTTGCACTTTGTGTTATTGAAATTTTACAGTATAAATGTAGAATAGATACTTTAAATATCTATTACTTCCTCTTCACTAATTTCATTTTATTATGCGGTATCGTTGTTCTTGTATAATATGGCGTTAGATCTTATGAAGAGCTAGATGAAGATATGAAAGATCACGATAATTCTTATTAGGATGGGTTCATACACGAAGCATACTTGGTTATGAGATATTTAGGACTTGCAATCGCATTGCTTCATTCTATCACAATAATTGCATTTATACACTTTGCAATCAAGTCTAAGCACAGAAAATTTAATTTTGAATAAATTACCTCGCAGTAAAATAAGAAATTGAATTCTATCTAGTATGAAAGAGAAGCAAAAGGATATATTAAAGGAAGATTAAATGGTATACCACTGAGATACTTAATGATTGATGAAGCTAACTAATGTTAGATTTGCTTGGAAAATTTTAGAGCTGAGAAATTTATAGAAGAGGGACAAGAGGAATTACACAAAGTGATGCAACTAGAGTGCAATGATATTCACATATTCCATGTGGACTGCTTAGTTGATTGGATGGCTGCTGGCTATGACTACTGTCCTTGCTGTCTTAGTGATATTAGACTATGAATATTTTTATACTTTATTTAATCATTCAAAATAATTCTAATTTAAGTTATTTGTTGCTTGGGGTTTTGGGGTTTTGGGG